CACTTATTTGCCACTTAACAAAAGATAAGCGAAAAAAAGCTGAACACCTTGCGCGGGGGCGCAACAAGATTTCGTTTCGTCTTGATTTATAGGAAATTTTAACACCTTTGAGATCGAAACGTAATATAAGAGCGAGTCGCGTGTAATTACTCGATCGTCCTCAAAACGAGAGTGAGTGCCGTCAACGCGCGACACTCGCGATGCTCCCCTTCCCCGCCTCGCCCATCGCTCCTAGCTCCTCGATCCACCGAGCACGACGGGGAGATCAGGGAAGAAGGCAGAGGCGGACAAATAGAGACCGAAATAATATGACACGAATGCTTAAATTTAAATCCGTTCAATAACGGACATGCGCCCGCCTCGTCCGGTCGACGAAATACAAGCTGCTTAGCTATCTATAAGCTAACTATAAACAGAGATTGATTGGCAACTACTCTAATTTAACGATAAATAGAGACAAACTTAGAATAATTGTTCGCGACTCATAACATAAAATCAAGAAGAAAACAACAAACAAAAAAAAACAAATTTTAAATACAATAAGAAATTAATAGACGACGTGGCGTCTCCGCGAGCATCACGCCTCCGTCAGGGCAATGCCGCGTCCAGCTCCATGTCCGCGTCAGGCGGGTGGTCCAAGTTCCTTGGAGGAACCGGGTCCGGTGCGATCGGCAAGGGACAGATTTTAGCGACGGGCCGCTTCAGCTCCGTCGCTGCCATGCGGATCGTCACCACGCGCACGCAGCCGTCCGGCCCCGGAAAGACTTGGACGATCCGACCCAGTGGCCACTTAGCCGGCGGCAGCAGTTCGTCCTTCACCAAGACCAGCATGCCCGGCGTTAAGGTTGGTCCGCTCTCGGGTCCATTTGGAGCGTTGCTGCAATTGATGCAGGTACTCTTCGTGCCATCGTTCCAAAAGGACTCCTTGATTGCGGAGATCAACCGCCAGCGCGATGTTGGATGGAGATCGGACACCGGGACCTCCGGTATATGCCGAGTGCTTCGCCCACGAGGAAGTGACCAGGCGTTAGCGCCACCAGATCCGTGGCGTCTGCGCTTAACGGACTCAGCGGTCTCGAATTAAGGCAGGCCTCAATCTGGCATAGCAGCGTCAATAGTTCCTCGTAGGTCAAGGCATGGTCCCCGAGAATGCGGCGCAGATGATGCTTGACCAAACGGATCCCTGCTTCCAGAGGCCTCCAAAGTGAGGAGCCTGAGGCGGGATAAACCTCCATTCGGTCCCGTCGCTGGCTAGCACTTCTCCGGCCTCCTTGTAGAAGTCGGAGGCGGCACGGAATCTGGCTCTCAATTCGGCGTCAGCTCCCCGGAAATTAGTCGCGTTGTCGCTGAGCAGCAGACGGCAACGACCTCGACGGGCAATGAATCGGCGGAATGCTGCAATAAACGCCGGTGTCGACAGGTCCGATACGGCCTCCAGATGCACGGCCCTGGTTGCTAGACAGACAAAAAAACAAATATAGTCCTTGCTAGCAGCGTGGCCTCGTCCCTTGTGGGCTCGAATACGCAGAGGGCCTGCGTAGTCAACCCCCGCCGATGCAAAGGGTCTGGTGGAGCGTACGCGCTCCGGCGGCAGCTGACCCATCTTTTGTTGCGCTAGTTCCGCGCGGAAGCGGGCACAGCGCACGCAGTCCCGGGCGATCCTTTGGACCCGAGTGGCCACCCCCACGACCCAGAAGCGACGGAGAAGATAGCTCCGCATGAGTTGAGGGCCTCCATGCAGGGTCGCCGTATGCGCGTCGCGAAGGACCAGCTCGGTAAAGTAACCCTCTTTCGGCAGAGTATTCGGGTGCTTTTCTGAGAAGGGCAGGTGAGCCGATTGAAGTCGACCGCCCACTCGTAAGGACCCATCCTCGTCCAAGAACGGGCTTAATGCTCGCAGAGAGACGAGCCACCGGGCAATAGGCCGCCCGCCGTAAAGCGCTCCCAGCTCTCCTGGAAACTCCCTTCGCTGCGTCCGCCTCACCATCACAGATAGAGCCACTCCAACTCGGCGCCGGACAGGAAATCGCTTTGGTCCCTCATACCTCGAGCCTTGTGATAGAACCTGTAACAGTAGACTACTACGCGTACAAACCGCGTCAAAGTGGAGAATCTCCCTTCAAAGAGATCCTCCGGATTCTCTGGGACGGCCAGGTGCACCGCCCTTTTTTCTTCTTCCTCGTGATGGGCACCGAGGTCACCCACCACAGGCCACGCGGTGGTTGGTCCCCGAAGCCAGACGGGGCCTCTCCACCACAAGTCTAAACCAAGAAGCTCCGAGACCGGAATCCCCCTGGTTGCCACGTCAGCCGGGTTTGATGCAGTCGGAACATGTCTCCACCGTTCGCCCGGTACCAGACTCTGTACCTCTGCCACTCGATGCGCCACAAACGGTCGCCAGCGCGACGCATGGGAACGCAGCCAACAAAGGACGACCCTAGCATCTGTCCAGGCAACGACAGGCACGTCCTCCAAATCCAGGTCATGAGCCACCCGGTGCAGCAAGCGAGCCACTAGAACAGCTCCGCATAGTTCCAAGCAAGGCACACTTTGCTTCTTGACCGAAGCCACCTTGGCTCTGGCAGTCAGCAATGTCACCTCCACCCGGCCATCTCGCTTGGTGACCCGGACATAGACGGCAGTAGATATACTATGGGGGTTCTAACCCAGGGGCAATGAGGGGGGTGCGGGGCGGGGGAAATCGGGGGCGAGGAGGGTGACGTCACGCGGGGGAGGGGGTCTTATCAGTAGATAAGCTTATCTTTTGTTTATAAACATATCAGATTACCTGATAAGGGGATCATATTACCTGATAAGGAGATCATGTTACCTGATATGTTTATAAACAAGATAAGATAAGGGGATCATGTTACCTGATATGTTTATAAACAAGATAAGATAAGATAAGCGGCGTCTTTGAGCGGTATCTATTACAAGATAAGATAAGCTTGAGCGATATCTAAGTTTTCATAAACAAGATAAGATAAGATAAAAATTCTACAAATGGCTGCCGCCGTTTCTTAATCCAAGCGTGGATCGAGCGCCGACAATTGGATATCTAAGTTTTCTCTGAAAATCCAAGATAAGATATATATTACAGCGATATCTATTACTATTAGCGATATCTATTACAGCGATATCTAAATTTTCTCCGAAAATCCAAGATAAGATAAAATAATTCTGCGAATTATTAAGAACAAAAGGTTTGCCGACAATCAAGCGGGTTGATACATGATCCATACAGATTGCGACATGTCAATCCAGGCTTGGATCCGACGTGTCAATCCGACGGGGTGAAATGAAAGGTAACGGGCAACCTTATCTATGTATTTCTAAGAATTATTAGCAATATCTAAATTTTCTCTGAAAATCCAAGATAAGATATTGCACAAATATTTCTCGCAAATTAACAATTGCATCATCATCCCACGAACAAAGGGATGATCGGGATATATAATGAGGACCGATGCAGCTGCCGGGCCATAGTACCACTGGCGAGCGCACGCTCTCTTCATTCGGGGTGCAGAATGTTTGTAATACTATCAAGTGCTTCCGACATTCTCAGTTTAAGTGCCGAACAGTTACAATATATTCCGAAGATTGTTTTACTGCAAAAGTGCGGATATTTCGTAGAGCATTTGTGGGAAAAACTGCCGGAGCACATTAAGACGGATCCGGAGGTTCAGACATATCGTCGCTGCCTCGAACACTACAATCGGCCGTGGATGCGAACGCATATTGACGGTCCAGCACCGATGATCAGGGATTGCAGCAAATATCAGCGACAATAGGCTGAAGTTACAAGTGTAACACGTGTGAAAAAGTGATAGACATCAAAAAAATGGAGAACGCGGTAAAAGATCATTCGAGGTGTTTGAGAATGTTGAGAGATGGTATAGACATCTCGATGAATGCTATTATGATGAAAAAAAATGACCCGTTTCATTTTAAACGTGAAGCGGTGACTTCGGTTGTGCAATTCGTAAGAAATCGCGAACTTGGTGTGCACAAACCGCATACAAGAGATGTTGCCTATTTCCTGGAAACGCACGAAGACATTTTAAGAGTGACTGGTGGGTTATCCAAATGCACCAGATCGTCTAAACGACACAAGCGAGTCGCATGTTATCAGCGTCGCTACAAAAATTGTGCAGAATATTTCACTGTGAACAACCTTTATTTTGCCGACATGGATATGCCTTCACCATCGGTATCATGCAAAACACAATCATCTGATTATGATTCGGACCAAGAAATAGAGGAGTCAGATAGGAGAGAACCGAGACCATCACCATTGTCGTCATCATCATCATCGTCAGATTACTTGTTGCAGCCTATTTATTTGTCTGATTAAATAGGTGTACAACATATGTGAAGAGTATGTCAACGTTTCTGAGAGTAGATATGTATGATTCGCGGAAGGTGTAAACATGTCGATAGACAACAGCCGCTATTTTTTGTTTTGGCGAAGATCATCTTTCGGAGATAATAGCAAATCTTTCGGAGATAATAGCAAATCTTTCGGAGATAATTGCATCATACGTTGAAGAACAAAGGGATGATCGGGGATATATAATGAGGATCGATGCCACTGCCGGGTCATAGTACGGTGACAGTTGCGAGCATAGTAGTGACTCGAGAATAAATTGTTTTTTGTGATAAAAATGGAGAACGCAGCGCGTAAGAGCGACGATGAGATGGAGGTGGTCGTCGTCCCGGATGACGAGATGGAGGTCATAACCATCTCCGACGACGACAGCGAGAGCGACAGTGATGGTGCGATGTACGACCCTGTGTACGACAGGGAGGCGAACAACGTCCTGGATGACATTGAGGAGATGGAGGTCGATATCGTACCCATTGATGAAGACGGCGATGACGATGACGATGACGATGATGATGAAAATGAAGATGAAGATGAAGATGACGATGGGTACGATAGTGACAACGCTGTTCGGGAGTCGTGCAGCTCCCGCATGTATGGCATATGCGCCACTGCATCCCTCGACGAGACAGCGAGGGTATGCACTGTGGCGTCGTATGTCATGGCATTTGCCGCACCATGGGGGTCGGTCAGGATCTGCTTTCGCTGTTTCGTGAGAAACAGGGGCAGATTCCTGAGCATCACAACCATCGAGGGACACACTACATCGCGGTACACAGATGTACCCGAACTGCGTTGCGATGATTGCCAGGAAAGACTATACGTGTTCTACTTGGCCAACGCTTGTCCCACCTGTCAAGGACGTGAGTATATATATATATTATATATATATATATATATAAAATATATAAAAAATATTAAATTATTATATTTCTATGTGCAGATGCCGAGTCCGATGACAGCGACGGTTGATGCGACCCTTTCTCTCGCTGTCCCGTCAGGGCTGTAAGTATATTAAAATACCCAAAAAAAAAAAAATCTATAAAATATTAAATTATTATTATATTCTATGTGTAGATGCCACTACCTCGAGCCGCCACATCGCGCGCGGTTCCGCTCTCTCTCTCTCGTCGGCTCTCTCTCGTCGGCTCTCTCCGCTCACTCTCGCTGTCACCGTACAGAAGAATTATTTTATATTTTATATTTTTTATATTTTTTATATTTTTATATTTTTATATTTTATATTTTTTTTTTATATTTTTATATTTTTATATTTTTTTATTTTACATATATTATTTTTTATTTTTTATTTACACACACAGTAGAGAGGGTTTGGAGTCGTTAAATACCGCGAAAGTGACGAACCGTGGGGTCCTTATCTCTACTGAAACACATGTACAAGTACACACACGCATACACACATGCACATACACTGACATATGAGGTGTAAATCCAACCGGCAATTTCCACGCGGTACACCTCGGGTAATGCTAATGCCGGCGGTAATGTAATAATTAAGAATAAAAATATATATTTTAATAATATACCAAAATGTTTATTAATTTAAAACTGTTTCCCTCCTCGATATCCTTATAAAATAATGTACAAAAAATAAAAAAATATGTATAAAAAATAATGTACAAAAAAATTAAAATAAATGTACAAAAAATAAAAAAATATGGATATATATATAATGATCTAGAAAAAAAGAAAAAAATGTACAAAGAAAAAATAATAATGTACAAAGAAAAAATAATAATGTACAAAGAAAAAAATAATGTACAAAGAAAAAAAATAATAATGTACAAAGAAAAAAATATTGAATAAAATATACATTTTATTAAAATAAAAAAATGTTTTTCCTCCTCTCGCCACAGCATCCCTCTCCCGCAAAATCCAGGCTTGGATCCCGAGCCGCCGACTCTCTCGCCGCAGGCCCGAGCCGCGGACTCTCTCGCCGCCGCATCTCTCACCGCCCGAGCCGCCGACTCTCTCGCCGCCGCATCTCTCGCCGCCCGAGCCGCCGACTCTCTCGCCGCCGCATCTCTCGCCGCCCGAGCCGCCGAATCTCTCTCGCCGCCGCATCTCTCTCGAATGCGTGTGTCTTCTTTCTCTCTGTCTCTTAATGTCGCGTGCGCCTAAGATAAAATTATCGATTTTCTTCTCGCTGAGGCTTGGATATAACAATGTCCTTGACACGATAATTATCTCTCGCAAAGTATGTAACGGGTGGCGCGCAAATAAATACACCATGATATATACATATAAGTATTTATTCGTCTTATATTTAATACATAATTATATATAAAGTTTTATTACATATTAAAAACTAAAGCCACCAGCTCGCAATCGACAAGTTGGTGCATGTTGAAGACATTGCTAGCGCGTATCGCATTCGACAATTCTCTCGCATTCGTTACAGTGGATGCAATATTGGAGAATTGAGTATATTTGATATCAACCGTTGCGACGAGCCTCGTTAAACGATCGAACATTATTTCGATACATGAATCGAGCTCGAACATACGATGTAACGTCGATTCGACCATCATCATGCGCACGTCCGCTGATTCGAGACTTATGAGCTTGGTGCCGTTTATCTT